TGTGTGTGTGTGTGTGTGTGTGTGTGTGTGTGTGTGTGTGTGTGTGTGTGTGTGTGTGTGTGTGTGTTAGGAGGGAGCTGCCGATGACGTTAGGTTTGTTAGTGATTCTGTTTGAGAAACCCCTAACTTCACTTAGAGATTCTGTAAATGTGCTGCTAGGCTCTTAATGTGTGTGTGTGTGTGTGTGTGTGTGTGTGTGTGTGTGTGTGTGTGTGTGTGTGTGTTAGTAGGCACACGGTTGAGCAGAATAAAATAATGGAGCCAAATCAAAAGTGGAGGAAGCTCCAACTCTGAAAACAAAACTGTGACATTGTGGAAAATGTAAAAACAAACAGTATTCACTGATCTATAAATCTGATAAAACTGCAGTTTATTTACAATAGAACACAGTAAACACATTAAATGATTAAAGAAATTGTACTTTTTAAAAAATAAGATCATTTTGAATATAATGGAAGCAACACATCTGGCAGTTCTTGAAAAAGGCATCTCTCAAGAACATATATTGTTCTAAAACCTGCAAATGTTCTGCATTGATGGAGCCTATGCTATCCATGTCAGAGGCACTAATGTACCCCCATACCATCAGAGAGGCAAGCTTATAAACTGTATGTTGATAATAGGCTGAATGACTCTTGTCTTCTTCAGTACAGAGGATGTGGAATTCATGGTTTCCAAAAAGAAGCTCTAATTTTGATTAATCTGACCACAGAACAGTAACATTTCTGAATGGTGTTTATGTATTGACACTTCTTTGCATGATGGAGCTTTAACTAGCATTTGTGGATGGCACAGCAAACTGTGATCCGTGGAAGCCTTCCTGAGCACGTTCATTCGGTTGGGGTCTATATAAAGTGAAACTTCAATGCTTTGGTATGAATTCCTTCTTATTGTAACTCCACAAGCCCCTATTTCACCATTTTCATAGGTGTTTGTCTGAGATTAATTCATTTTGAGGCTGTCTCTTTAAGGTCAAACAAAAGGGTCTTTATCATGGGGCTACATTTTAGGTAGTGATTATTTAAAATGTAAAAAAAAGTGTAAACATATTTCTGATTAAATAGATGAGTATTTTTCTCCAGTGGGATTGACAAAAGTTAGTTTTACTGAAGATTATCTGACATTATTTATCGCTCCAATAAAGTTGCTTCCTAAACCATAAACTTGAGGTTTTATGAGAAAATTTTGTTTATTGTGGAACACAAACAAATTGCCTCTGGGAACTGTGCCAAAAAACAAACTGTGACTGGAACACTCTGCTGGGTTCATAAAGCTTTCAGAGGAATTTGCTGCTGTGATTCATGTGACACGGACAAACATCAGTTTTCTTCTGGTCACCGCCTGCTGGATTACACCTGCTGCAGGATAACACATCTGCAAGATTACACCTGCTGCAGGATCACATCTGCTGCAGGATTACACCAGCTGCAGAATAACACATCTACTAGATTACACTGGTTGAAGGATTACACAAACTGCTAGATTGCACTGACTGTAGGATTACACCTGCAGCAGATTACACCAGCTGCAGGTTAAATTGGCTGCAGGATTACCTCGGCTGCAGCATTACACTGGCTGCAGATTACAGAAACTGCAGATTACACCAGACGTAGGAGTACACTGGCTGTAGAATTACACCAACTGTAGGATTACCCCAGCTGCAGGATTACACCGGCTGTAGGATTACACCAGCTGCAGGATTACACCTGCTGTAGGATCACACTGACTGCAGGATTACACCAGCTGTAGAATCACACTGACTGCAGGATTACACCAGCTGCAGAATAACACATCTGCAGGATTACACCAGCTGCAGAATAACACATCTGCAGGATTACACCAGCTGCAGAATAACACATCTGCAGAAGGATCACACTGACTGTAGGATTATGCAAGCTGCTGGATTGCACTGGCTGTAGGATTACACCTGCAGCAGATTACACCAGCTGCAGGTTAAACTGGCTGCAGGATTACTCCGGCTTCAGATTACACAAGCTGCAGATTACACAACCTGCAGATTACACCGGACGTAGGAGTACACCAGCTGTAGGATTACACCAGCTGCAGGATTACACCAGCTGTAGGATTACACCAGCTGCAGGATTACACCAGCTGTAGGATTACACCGGATGCAGGATTACACCAGCTGTACGATTACACAAGCAACAGGATTACACCAGCTGCAGGATTACACCAACTATAGGATTACACCGGCTGTAGGATTACACCAGCTACAGGATTACACTGGCTGTAGGGTTACACCAACTGTAGGATTACACCAGTTGCAGGATTACACCAGCTGTAAGATTACACCAGCTGCAGGATTACACCAGCTGCAGGATTACACCAACTGTAGGATTACACCAGTTGCAGGATTACACCAGCTGTAAGATTACACCAGCTGCAGGATTACACCAGCTGCAGGATTACACCAACTGTAGGATTACACCAGTTGCAGGATTACACCAGCTGTAAGATTACACCAGCTGCAGGATTACACCAGCTGCAGGATTACACCAGCTGCAGGATTACACCGGCTGCAGGATAACACCAGCTGCAGGATTACACCAGCTGCAGGATTACACCAGCTGTAGGATTACACCAGCTGCAGGATTACACCGGCTGTAAGATTACACCAGCTGCAGGATTACACCAGCTGCAGGATTACACCAGCTGCAGGATTCATGAAGAATAATCTCTCAGAGGAAATGACTCAGCCTAAATGTATAAAAACAGTTTTTGTCTGACCTGAAGTCGTTGTTCTCTCCTCCTGCTCGTTCAGGCTGAACCTGGCTCTGCCTGGAGCTCCCAGGGGACAGGCTCTTCTGTGACTGAGGACTCAGCTCCGGTTTGGGACTAAGACTGTGGGTCAGATTAGGATTGGACAGATTGCTGGGAGAGGCGTCCAGGCAAAGTTGGGGACTTTGTGGACAGCTGAGAGGGAACGAAGGCTCTGATGTGGAATGTGACAAGACGTTGGTACTCTGAGGTCCCGGGATGCAAACTGGGATCAGATCTATGTCCTCAGAGAACTCCGGTGGGACTCTGGGGGGCCTCGAAGCGGCTTTAGTTCCAAGAGCGGTCGGTCTGGGCCGGCTGATGCATACGAGTCCTGGAGTGGACACGAGCTTCTGCTGCTCCGCCTGCATGGGAGCCTGGTGTCTGAGCAGGTCAGGTGAGCTGAATACAGGTGGCTCCTGGACTGCAGGCCGTGAAGCTGGACTCGGTCTGGGACTGGGCTGCACTTTAGGACCACAAGGGTCTGTGCTGATGTCTTTCTGTGACTGGCAATCCATCAACCTGCAGAATCAATGAACATAAAAAAGAGTCAGCATCAAAGATTTATTCCTCATTTTAAAAAGAACAAAGTGACACCAGATTATATTCCCACGAGTTCCAAGGAGCCAGTTTTAGATTATGTCCTGGATTACATAAACTGCCTTGTGCTAATTAACTCTTGACCCTTTCACAAAAGGAGAAAAATGAAGGTTTTGGAGCATAAAACACACGCCAGGTCACAGAGAGGAGGGTGAAATTACATCAAAGGAGGACAGCCTGCCACCATTTTGCTTCCTGCCCCACAGAGACATCAAACACCTCTCTGTTAATAATTTACACCATTTTAATGTGTCTTTCTCTTCTAACTCACAAGCACAGCTGCAGCCTGCAGGACAGAGCTGCGAGGACACAGGATCCACTTTCTAAACTTTCAGACACACAACAAAAACAAGTGGGCCTGGGTCACATTTCAGTCCAGGAGCTTGCAAGACTGAGACAGGGCTCCATGTTCAATAGGTAAAAATAAAATAAAATAAAATAAAATAAAATAAAGCGATGTCCTACAGAACAAATTTCTTACCTTTGCGTTTTTTTTTAATCCAAGGTGAACAGCAAGGGTGGCACCAGAAACTCACAGAAGTGATAAGCACCGGTCCAAACCACCAGACTGCCCCGGCAGGATCGATTAATGGACCGGAGCCTGCAGCAGGACGGACCCGTCGGTACCGCGGACAGCGCACGCCTCGTCACGGTGCCGTCAGTCCCCCGCCGTGGACCCGGGCAGTCAGGACAGACAGCTGTCACGCATCACGCGCCTCCTGCATGTTGATGTTTGTGGTTTATGATCCCGCTGCGTGTGTTGTGTTGTATCTGAATGTGTGTGTGTGAGTGTGTGTGTGTGTATTCGGAGCAGCATGCGCACTCTCCGGACGCAGCATCCCCGGCGCACCGACCCGTCTCCCTCCATGTCCCTCCTTCCCCAGCTGAAAAGTGTCGTAGGGGCGGGCAGAGAAATGAGCGCCTGTCCTTCAGTGACGCATGAATCCGACAGGAGTGCGTCACTGATGGGAGAATTGATCACCTTATCAATAACCTATAATTAACATTTCACTTTGGCAAAACAACTCAGCTCATTATTTATATCCCAGTGTTTTTAAACATATAAACAATTTAACAAGACAGGAAAACATAATATGATTATTTTAAATTAAATTTAACTGAAAAGGGCTGTTAGATATTAAACTAACTTAAAAGTTTCATATGTATGAATGAGATTTAATGTTATAATGATCTGTTAATGTTTATAATTAATAATTATTTAGAGAAATCAAGTTTTTAAGATATACAGTATGTGCTGCTGAAATGAAACTTGGAGTGACTTGTTAAGCTAAGAAACAAAGCTCAGCTAAAAGCTAAAAGAAACAAAATGCTAGCTTAAAGTAACAAAACAAAAGCTAAAAGCTACAAGTATCAAAGCTAAAGGGAAACATTTTTGAAAAAGGCCTAGAATTAGCAAATCTAAAACCTAAATTTGCCAAAGACAAGAATACAGCAAATGTGCAGAAGGTTAGTTTAAAAAGTAGAAAAGAAAAGCTAAAAATAAAACTAAAAGTAGCCAAAGGCTAACTAAAAGCAAAAGGTAGCAAAACGTTTTCTAAAAATAAAAAGCAGGATGATATAATTAAAGTAGCTAAAAGCCATGTAAAGGTTAAAAATAACAGAAGTCTTGTTAAAAGTGAGGCTATAGCTTGGTAAAAGTAGTAGAAAAATAAAAGATTAAAGTTTCAATTATATCTTCCATAAGGATGTGATCTGAACCGATTTTTACTTGGCGATACGGATGTTTTTGCTTTCCACTTGATGATATTTTTTTATTGACAGCTTGAATAATTATTTGTTACTAACATTAATCCTGTTACTGAGGTGTCCCTGAACAATACAAGTCTTTTCACACAAGTTAAGGAGCTTCTCTGGCACCAAATCAAGGTTTTAAAACCTCCAAATATCTGCTGTTTAGAGGGCTATAACTACACTTAATCCTGTTTTTACAGTACGACACAGGACAGGACTTAGCTGGACATCTCCTCCTACCGCCTGGAATGTTTTTCATTCTGAATGAGACTTTTCCATGAAGGACTCCAAATAGTTTAAAGATGAACTTGTAGCTCTTCAACAGACTGATGAGGAGCAACAGTTGTTTATTTGAGGTCATTCCTGGTGTTTTTCTTTCTGGCACAAAATGCAACAGAAATATTAGACAAGGTGAGTTTCATATTTTCAGTTTTTGGGTGAATCGCTGACGTTAGTGTTGTTGATAAGTTAGTTTTGTTCAAAACGTGACCTGTTTTTAGCTGCAGTATATCTTGCAGAAACAGTACCATACCTAATCCTGAAACTGTTTCATTCTTGGCACAAATTTTGAGTTTCCTGTCGACAGTTAACCTGCTCCATTTATAGCAAGGTGTTTGGGGTAAATCACAAACATTTCATTCATTTATAATCATTTATTTACTGGACCTTAAATTCAAAAACTCTCAGCTTCATCGTGGTGATCACATTAATCCAGATGTGTAATCTCAGCGGAATGAAGGGATTTTAAGCAACAGCTGTTCACACTGACACCAATAATTCTCTGCTAGCAGGAAAACTAATCCAGATGTTACCCATAAATCTCTGTGGATTTACCCTCCAGTGGCTTGGGTTGTAAATATTTAGCTAAAAGACAGAAGCGACATCTCTCAGACCTCACATCGGGGCCAGTAAATGATCTGTTTTATTACTTCAAAATGACTCCTGAGAGCCGCTGTCTGACACTAAGGTCGCTTTTTAGTTTTGACAAGACCCTTCTCCACCAGGCAGCGGTAAAACTCCTGGATGTACGTGTACACACACTTCCAATCCGGCTCCCTCATCCGGACCAGGTCATCAGCATCCAGCAGAGGGGGGCAGCCTGCCAACCTCCTGGAGACAGGATGTCAATAAAAGACAGCTTAAGATGAACGATGGTTCAGAAAAGGTGTAATAAAGCCGTTTTTGATTGACTGAGAGCCGCTCACTCTGCGGTGCTGAACGCCAGCTGGAAGTTGTCTCTGGGCTTGTTGGGGTTGAGGATGGAGTACTCAAAGGCGTCGGGGAAGAATCGGTGCACCAAGGCGCAGAAGGCGATCCCGTCTTTCCAACTGGAGGAGAAGTTCTGGATGTCCACTCCCTGTTTTAAAACCCAGAGCTGAGTTCAGGCTTCGGGGACAGAGCTGCGTGTGCGACTCAGACAGATAATAAATCATCGACGAAGCTCGCAGGGAGATATTTCTACCTCATATGGTTCTGTTTTGGCCCGGCACCAGTCCAGAAGCATTTGTTTGACATTTTTAGCGTTGGGTGCTTCAGACGAAGTACATTTCTGGGGAAAGGCGGCAGCGGAACTCTCTCTGTTGAGCAGAGGAGACGAAAACAAAAGTTATCTTGTACACAGCATTAAAATACCACAGTTAAAATAATACTGATTCTTTTTTACACAGCTGACAAAACTAAAATATTTAAATGTCTTGAGAAATACAAAGTCGTAACCATTTTAGTAATAATTTAAAATAACTGCATGCTCAGTCTCCTGTCAGTTATCATGTTCATTGCTCTGAATGACACTTCAGATTTTTAACTCATCTGTTATACTGACTCAGTTATAGCCATTTTTGTGTGGCTAAAATCAATTAGCTGTGGTAGCCATCTTCAGCTGGACTGACTCCAAAAGCTAATCAGTTGCAGATGCACGTCCAGTGATTCTTAACTCAAAGTTTTATTGAAATTCATTCAGTGGCCCATGAGATATTTTGCTAACAGACAAACAAGATCGACTCCAACAGTTAATGCTAAAGTTTTAAGCAAAAATCCCGCACAATTTGCAGCCCTCTGAAATATGTGTTGTGAAAGACTCCCTACTAATACTGCACCAAATTTTGCCACAATACTTGTAAAATTGGCTGAATTATTGCTATGTTTACGTTTTATGATGTCAGTTAGGTATGGTGGCCATCTTGATTACAATTGACTCCAAAAATTAATCAGCTTTAGAGGAACATCCAATGATTATTTCCTGAAAGTTTCAGCAAAATATGTTGAGTGATTCATGAGATATTTTGCTAACATACGGACAGAGTTTATGCTAATAGTTATTGCAGATGTTAGTTTAGCACTCAGAGTCTCAAAGCTTAGTCTCAGCTATTCCCACACCAAATTTTAGATTTTTGTCTGTAAAATTGTAAAAACAACATGGCTCCACCTTTAATAAACACAGGAGTGGACTCACCTGACTGCTGTTTTGTTCCCTGGAGTGGAGGATGCTGGCTGGCCTGCAGGCTCTGACAACATGAACAGAGTTAAATGTGCACAGTTAAAGTGATGTCATCAGAGAGGTGGACTTACTGTGAGCTGAGGGTTGTTGGTTCATGGAGGCTCTTCCAACACTAACTGTTGTTCCACTCTTCTTCAGCTCCTGCTGCCTCACCCCTCGGTCCTGCTCCCGCTTATCTGAGAGGATTCAGACACGGCTGAGCCACGATGTCGTTATCACCTTCAGCTATAAGAACATTAAGGTTTTACCCCTCTTTTTCTTTAGCAGGTCTCTTAACGCTGCGCGAATCATCCTCCTCTCTTCAAAACCAGCTGCACCGTCCAGCTGAAGAGAAAAAACAGATTTTGTAGGAGAGAGTGTTTTAAGATCAAACTGGCATCGTTTGTGCCAGTTTTCTGCTGCTAATATAATAAATTAAAGTTCAAACATTTTCAAAGCTGAAAATGTTTAAGAGCAAAACTGTTCATGTGAGTTAAATTTGAACAGCTGAGTTTTGCTGACAGTATGAAAACAAGACAGCAGCAGAAAAACGTTGAAATTAGCAGACAGATGGTGAACGGAGAGTAAAAAAGCTCACATTGGCAGAAAAAAAGTACAAAACAGTTGCAAGATAGCTAAAACAGCCTAAATTAGCAGAAAAATTGCTTTAAAAATTGCTGAAATTAGCACAAGAGGCAGAGAGAGCATGTTTGCTGAATTAAGCAGTAAAAAGGTGAAATTACCACAAAAAGGCGAATTAAGATGAAAAAAGCTATAATAGCTACGGTGTAGCTAAAAAGGCAAATAAGAAAAACAACAATGAAGCTTAAAAAGCTGAAATTAGCAGAAAAAAGCTAAAATTAGGGGGAAAATTAGTTGAAAGAATCTCAAATTTGTACAAGAAATTAAAAAAAAGCAGAATCAGAACAAAAGGTTTAAAGAACAGTAAAGATTTTAAAGGGTTTTAAGGAAGTTGAAGATAAATCCGTTCCTTTTCAAAGAGAAAAAACATGACAGAAAAAAAGCTTAATAACTGAAAAAGTACAAGTTGCTGAAAAACCAAAAGTCATAGCACCCATGGCCTAAAGGAGCTGAACAGTTTGATTTATGAAATAACAGAAACATTGTTCAATGCTGAAAAATGCTGGAGGAAAAATGGATGATCTCACAATCAGTTGTAGTTTTCAGGTTTTAAACAGGCCATCTCACCATCTTGTTGAGAACTTCTTCATCCTCGATGGAAGCCAGTTTCTCGCTGGTCAGCGGCTCTGATTCACCCCCTGGCTTTGACTCCATGTCTGAAGAGTGAATCTGCTGAGTGAAATCACAAATATTAATATTAAAAAAAAGACAAAAAGCAGAGGTTTTTCTATTTGTAATCAGCTGAGCGCAGCTGTGAGCTTCTTAAACTGCAGCTGTGCAACATCACGCTTGTCTTGCTCAAGTCTTATTTAATGGATTCGAGCAACTTGTTGGCTGTGGCACAGAACACACTGAGAAATGTACAAATATAGTAAAACAATGGAAGACGTCCAGTTCTGAAGGATTCTGATAACAGAGTCAAAACTATGTGCTTCAAGTCTGAGCAAACATTTTCCACCTGACGTTACACGACCAGAAGAACAAAGTGAGGATTATAAAATCCTGACAGGAAGTTGGTGTCTCCATGACTCACCTGTTATCAGGATTCAAACGGTCCTCTCCTGTTGAAGATGCTTGGACTGTACTCTCTCGTCTCCTCCCTGCAAACTTTGCTTAAAACCAGCCCAGCTCTGTATTAAGTACCTCACAGGGATGCATGTTTGGAGAGAGAGAGAGAGAGGGGAGACTGCTTCTACGGACCACCCAAAAATGGGATGAAGGAACACATCAGGTCACATCCATCCACAAGAAGTGTCTTGTTTCTGTTTCCTGGATGATGTCAAAATGCTTCAGAAGTTCAATCTAACAGATGTTTTTACTTGCAGTGGAAAACCGTGTTTACATCATTTAGGCTACAGTGTGCAGCTGGATGGAAAATAAAGGGTTAACGGTGGCTAAAATGTGAGGAGCACTGCCTTATTCAGGCAAAAGGCTGAAGAGTCACTCTGTTTACAAAAATAGAAATAGAACATTTTAAAGAGGACATGAAAAACAGAGTTAGAGACTAAAATCAAACAGACATCTTGAGGGAAATACTAGAAAAGTACATTTAACTTCAGCAGAGATTAGTTAGTGTTTATTATAAAAAGCTTTTATAGAGGCAGAGCTTACAAAGTAGTTTAAAAAGCAGATAAATGGCTCCACCTAGTGGTGAGATCATTGTGACATCAGACAAACTGTTTCTGATTCTGTTTTCTGTGCAGCGATTCCTAAAATATTTTATGTTTTTGATGTTGTGCTGCTAAAAATGGCTGAAAGATGGTTTTCACTGCTGGTTTTTACATTTCTCTGAATTATTCATCATGAGCATCGACTAAATCAACACCATTTTTACACCGAGAGGCTCATTTGTTAAACTGATGAGTTTACTAAGTAGTTTTTTTGCAAAGTTTTGTACTCTTCATATCATAATTTATAGATTAATTTTTTTTACAGAAATTATAAGTGTCGGGTAAAGAAATGCTCTAAATGTGGTGATGAGGTGCTTGGGTTTTGTTTATTTGTTGTTCCAGTCCAATAATTCACACTTTTCTTCTCTACAGGAAGTCCAAATAAGGCATGATGCGAAAGTTTCTCTGTTGAACCAGAATAGTTTCATACCAGCAATCCATGAAAGGAAACACATAATTATAATAAAATAATAACTATTTACATCCAACAAGCATGGCAAACAATCAAAACCAGAAGAGGAGTTTAAAAGTGGCGTCTTGTACATCAGTGCAACAAAAACACAGCAAATAATGTTTTTCGTGAGAACACAGCATTAAAATAAAAATGAAATGCTTCTTTTTCTTGATATAAGTGAACCTGTAAGCTGCATTAAAGAACTGTTAAAACAGCTGAGGGATTTTAGTGTCAAAACACTGGTTTATATTAGGCTTTGTTGAATCTAGAGCCTGATTTATTTATTTATTTAGCTTTATTTCTCAACGGACTTGGAATTTAGGGGAAAAGGTCTTGGATTTACTCATTATCAGTGATTTTTTTTTTACATTAGATCTTAGTAAACAGCACCTTTATAATAAAAATACAGTAGGATTCAAATAAAAGTATTAATGTTAATTTGTAGTGGTGTTGTCAATTTAGAGCTAAAACTAAGTGAGCCATGGTCGCAAAGAAAACCAGCAAAAATCATTTAAAAAAAGCATAAACAGTAAACATTTGACAAACCAAACATGCTGGAGGTCATGTCGGAGGTACAAATAAAGATATTTTCAGTAGCATGAATTCTTCGGTTTGTTTTGTTTTTTTAAAGGGAGAGAAATGAAAACTGATTTAATTTACACATACAGTTTATTGCGAGTGAGGACAAAAACCTCCAGCATTTATAGTCCTTTAAAGTTATGCTGAAAACATTTGCCAACTTTAAAAAAAATCTGACATTGGCACAAACGGAAAGAGACATTTCAACTTTCATTTTTATCTCCTCCACAGAGGGAAAAAGGCTCCTTAGAGAAACTTGACACTAATTAACCAGTGGCGCTGCGAGAAAAAGAGCACACTAATGTCAAATACGTAAATTGGAATAAATCCTTTGAGGCCCCGCCTTTTTAGGTCGGCATTAGAACAAAATCTAGGCCTTCAGTGAGAAAACTACGAGAAAGTGTTCAGCTTTTATCAAAACGTGCTTCTGTAGAGGAGAAGAGATGTCTGGTTGCTCAGAAATGCTCACTTAGTTCATCCTAATTTTAGTGTAAAACCAAAGTTTTAGTCCAACAGCATCAGTTTGATGCTTTGAGCCTAAAACACAAAGAAGAAGCTGCCATAAAAACCCGGTCCCTCACCATGATGGGACATTCAGGTAACAGTATCATAAATAAATCTTATTACAAATTACACCCATTCAAATTCAGGGCAAAGTGCTCTATAAGCTCCAACCAGTCTTAAAGGGATAGTTCAGATTTTTTAGAGGAAGTTTAACAACAATAAGTTACTTGTTGGGCTGAGCGATATGGCTGAAAAATGTATCAAATATAAGCGTTTCATATCAGTCGGTAACAATAATTATTGATTGGTTTTTGTTTATTTGACATAAGGACCAGGAGGAAAAAAGACTGATTAATCCTGCCAAACTGGTGACATGACCCTCCCTCTTTTATTCACAATTTCCTCTTGAGCTGTTGCTCATTTCCTCCTTTCCCTCCACATCAGTGTTTTTTAATATTTAAGCAGTTATGAGGCACAGTGGTGAAACATGAAACTGCTGCTGCGAGTTACTCAGCAGGTTGTTGCTAGCTTAGCAAAGAGTGAGTAAGTTAGCTGGGGTGTGAGCGGTCGAGCGGCTAAAGCCTTTTCCTCTGACTACATCCCCCAGAATGCAGTGCAGTTCTGGATCAAAAATCAGTGAAATTATCAACATTCTAATGGATGTATTTTCTATTAATACTGATCGCATGTTTATGGTGATATACATGTTGATTTTTGATTTATTGCCCAGCCCTTGAAACCTTTCAGTATGGGCGTGAAGCGACACGACCACAAACGAGCAGATAGTGAGGATCCCCCCCACCTCCACTATCTATAACAGGTAAGATGTTAACTGTTCATAATTATTACACCGAACTCTGCTTAAAAATCTGAACTATCGCTTTAACGTCGCTGCAGAAGCTACCCCAGACTCATCTCAGAGTCTTCACAGTGAAGCAGAGTGAGTGAGAGGCTCAGTTCTCCATCAGGTCTGAGTTCAGTGTGCTCATCGTGCATGCAGGCTGACAGGAGAGCTTTACACATGAAACACTAGCAGGGAACATGAAGGCGTCTTTCTCCTTGTGCAGGCTGTGTGATCAGAATTGGCACAGGGAGGGAGGAAGAAAATGTGGTCATGCTCCCCTGTCGACGCAGAGATTTCGGCGTATCCAGCATGTTTCGTTCAACCAAGTCTTCATATTTTCATTTTAATCTATTTTGTCTTCCTGTTTCTTATCAAAAGTCGGCTGATAATTAGTTTCTTCGAACGAATCCTTTCCGGTCGCACCGGGAAACTCCAAATGTTCAGAGCCCTCAGGTTTGGCCCTCCGCGCGTCCAGGTAGCCGACGATGAACTCCGAGTTCTGATAAATGAGCATGCCAGAGAGCGTCAGCACCGCCCCGGCGCAGCTGAGGGCGGACAGCTCGCTGCCGAACAGCAGCTGAGACAGCAGCAAGTTCCCCACCACGTTCAGGTTGCCCAGGATGTGCAGGGTGACGGCCGAGGTGAGCGTGATGACGCAGCAGCTGGCCAGGTTGTACATGACCGAGCCCAGGCAGCTGAGCAGGATGAAGACCCACAGGTGACGGTCGTAATGCAGCGGGGACTCCAGCAGGGCCCAGTTCTCCAAGGCCAGAGCAGCCACCATCAGGATGAGGAAGCTGGGAATGGACATCAGATAGAGCAGGAACACGGAGTTGATCTTCTCCTCCTGAAGCAGAATACCTAAAGGAAACACACACAGGATGTTCAAATTAAACTTGTCTGAGCTCGTCTAATTTATGCATCTGTGCACAGAAAAACCAGCTTCAACTCAACTTTAAATCAAATAAATATTAATAAACAGCTGCATGTTTCAATATGAACATGCTGCTTAGAGAAACTCAACAAAAGCCCAGGCTGGGAGTTTTACCTAATGTTACCTGACTTACTCACATAATGATCTAGTTTGTAAAATATAAATTTACATTGCCCATATTAGCTATTTTATTATTACAAATACAGTACCAAAACATACGACAACTATAGGAGGCAGCTGTACCAGTACCTCCACAACAAAACAAAAACACATTACATACAACAAAAAAAATGCAAATAAAATAAATTGAAAGGCAGCAGAAGAAGAAAAAAATCTTACATCTGCTTCTATTTACAAAAAAATTATAATTTATATTCATTTCAAACAATAAACCAAATAAAACAAAAACAGAAATTCAACTCCTCAAACAGTAACTCATACAAATACAAATTAAACAATTTCATATTTCATTAACAGTCTTGCTTTGATATTTTTTTAAAGGAATTAATTGACCCAATGCTTTTATTTTCCAGATTATTCCATATGCTGGCCGATTCTCACGGGATTAACAACACAGACAATCTCTGTAATTATTACAAATACATGGGGTCCCTAGGTAAAACTAATCCCGTCAGAATATGGACTATAGTCTGAAACCTTTCACTGAAGTACACCTGTCCTTCAAATTTGTTCGGATTTTTGCTTTAACAAACATTTCCCATCAAATTATAGCAGCTTTCCCTTTTAACAAAAGTATATTGGATGTTTGAAGGTAACACATTTTTATGAGCTTTATATATAACCTGCAGATTATATTCAACCGACTCATAAAATTTTAATAATTTTAACTATTGAAACAATGTATTAGAAGAGTGATAGTAATGCTTTCTTGTGATAATTCTTATGGCTCTTTTTTGTAAAATAAAAATAGGGTTAGAGATTGTTTTACACGCATTTCCCCAGACTTCTTTACAATAAATCATATGTGGAACAATTATTGCATTATATAGTATAAATAGTGCTTCATCATTAAATAACTCCTTAACTTTATACAATACTGCAATAGATTTTGCCATTTTGGGACTGGGACTGGTAAAGTATAACACTCGGTCTTATGTTAGTCAAGCTCATAATAATTAAATTACAGGAAGCATTGACATTACTAATAAATTTAAACATCAAATTTCTTAAAAGAGCCTGAAAGGTTTTGAGCCCAGTTGTCACAAAAAGTTGACTAACACTTTCCCATCTCGGCTTCTTCAACAGGAGTCTGAGGCAGTCGTTATATTTAGTGGCTTTAAACTTTGATGTTGAAGAGTTTGCATCGTTTACTTATTATATATACTTATTGATAATTTCATTACATTTTTGGCATCATGAGTTGTTTTGAAATGATTCCAAATTTCAGAATGAAATGCTTCATTTCGAACCAGAAAACGCAACTAAATTTACTTTTTCATGTATTCTGTTACACTTGTTTTGTTAAGGGATTGTTTCTGTGACATTAGCAGACTGTCGCTGTGTTTTTAGAGCTAACAGAAACTTTCAAAGCAAATAAACGCTGACATCAGGCCGTTTGACAGCAGGACGTTATGCAAAACTCCTCTTTGGGAACTTTGTTTAATGTGTCAGAGTGTGTCTGTGTAAAGTAAAAATGCATCAGTACCCTTTTGGAAAAATGCACTTCTGGCAGAAACTACTTGTTTTTTTTTTTTTTTGGCAAATACACGTCTGTATGTGGAACGATTTATCTTTGAACAGGAAGACTTTCACACCAAAAGCGGGTCAGAAAACAAAATACAGACAAATCAACAAGTGGGGAGATGAAAATAGCTTATTGAAACGTGAGACATCAGGGTTTAGTCATGATCGGCTGCGTCTTGTTTACAGTCTGACCTAAACGCGACGGCCGGACTTCAGTGTCCTTACCGGCACACTTATTTAACCTCGTGTGATGAAGAAAACAGTTTCTGCAGTCTGGTGCTGTGTGAGGATTTTGTTTACGTAGCTTTCTGTCTCTTCGCAAAGCAGGAACCGTATTACATAATACTGCTCTATTCTGCTGAGAACAAACACTCATCTACGGTGTAAAAAAACAACCTTTAAAGCAATTTATGCAACAAACCATTCAGCAAGAGTTCCAACTTATGGGTTTATTAATGCTATATTTTCAAAACACCAAACTAAATGTATAAAAAAAGAAAGGAGCATAAAAATATATAATCTATTTCATCATAAACATGATGACTCAGACGTTTCTGACAAGCTTTAACAGACAAACAAGATCAGCCGGTCACCATCATCCACTCACTCAGAGATGTGTTTATGTTTACGTCTTGTTGCCTTGGAACCAGAACAAAGCCTGCTGTAATTCTGCCTAATGACAGGGTGTCTGGACTGTGGAGTGAATCACTGACTTGTAGAACTTTCCGGGACCACATGTGGTTTTTTACTGGAGGAAAACCTTTAAAACACTTTATGATAATAAAACAGTCATTAGTTCTGAACTGTGGTACTCACTCTGCTGGATGGACTTGACACCCCTCAGCATGGTCGCTGCAAACACGAAGAAGCAGCCGGTCTGGTCGAACTGGACCTCTCCCATGATGCTGAAGGACGCCCCCAGGCAGATGGGCATCATGGCCGTGTATTTGAGGATGTGATGCTGCTGGCCCAGGATCAGGGCCGAGATGGCCAGGGTGAAGAGCGGGGTGGTGGTGTAGATCATTTGCGCAAACGACAGTTGCACATAGTTCAGACCCACGTTCCCAAAGGCGATACTAGCACAAAAAGTCAGACTCAGCAGGAACACCTTACATTTTGCACTGGGGGTCAAGTCCTGCTCGGCTGGGCCTCTGTGGCGGACCACCCTCAGCTTGATCAGCCCATAGTCCACCACTATGGCTGTGAGCATGTGCAGCGCTGACAGCAGCAGGGGGTACCTGAAGTTGTAGACTGCGAAGATCCATTTGTTGAGGCTGGAGATGGTGGTGCCGGTCACCAGCCACACAATGACAGCTGACAGCAGATGGAGCATCTCTGCAGGTGGCCTCCTCCGGCTGCCGACTCTCTGTGGACGCTCGCATTTTGAGAAGCCATCGGCGCTGATCATGTTCGTCGCATTGTACTCTCTGTAAGGCAAACACATGCTGATTCCGCTCTCATCTCCAAACGATGCAAACTCTTCAACGTTAAAGTTCAGAGCCACTGCAACCTGCAGCACAGCTGCTTTCCGAATGCGGTCGGATTTTGTTGCAATACGCGATTTCGTAGCACCGCCTATCAACACGTGTTTCTGTTTTGCATGCCTGCCTGGTTGTGTAACTTGCTCCCCGAGTATGGAAAATGACGTTTCCTTCAGCCGGATGAAAAGGGAGGAGGAGAAACCGGCTGGAGAACAGCGCGTCCCTTCGCTGATGAATCGCTACGCTCCTTTTTTACACACCGGCACAAAAGCAGTTCAAAAGCGATGACGACCGGTGAGGAGTTTCTACCTTAAAATGGAGGTAAAAACGTTTTCAGGCGTAAAAATGTTTCACCCTGACCTTCCACCAGACCAAGCGAAATCGAGATGAATATCTTTAACATCCTGTAGTGAGGCATTAGCACCGCTTTGAAGCCGGTGCATGCGCCGGCGTTAAATGGTGCGCACCCAGTGACGAAACAGCGTGATGCACCAAAAACAGCAGCGGGATTGTGAGAATTATTAAAATAAAGACACCTGCCTCTGACTGAACTCTCTTAAAAGCGATAACTTCACTCACAACAACAGGGCTTTAAAAATTAATATCCCAAACGGCACAGCAGCAAACAAAAATGACACTTAAGCCCTCCCGTTAGCTTTAAATAGTAACTTACTTCACCGGCTGATGCTGCCTGTAGTGTAGCTAGCCTAGCTGCTAGGTTATGTTTAGCTAATGGTTATAGTTTCCACCCCTCGTGCGACGTTAGCGCCCACTTGCCTGACGTCAGAGTGCGGCTGCACCTTGCGACACTTCACCAGAGATAACGTCATTGTTTTTACCTTGTTCCCGGAGCGCTGTCAGCATCCTTACCCCCCGTCAGTCGGTCACAGCCATGATGGTGACGGACGCCGCTGTCAGCGCAGTAGAACCCGGCGCGTGCCGGTGTCATAGGGCGGTTTATTTAAAGGGCAACTCCCCCTTTTTTATATGAATAATGTCTGTTTATAAAAGGATGCAGAGCGTGCAGGGAGGGCGACTAAATCCCTGGTGTGTTACTGAATGGTAGTTTTGCTATTACCAACATACTCCATATACACAATTATCTAAATTAAGCTGACATTTTTCAAAACAAGAGCAGATGAACAATACTTGGGAGACAGTTTTGTTTGAGTAAAATGATCTTGTTATTGTAATGATGATGACTACAGCACAGTATGTGTGAAAGAGACGAGATAAAATAAAAAAGAAAATGGTCATAAAAGTTTCTTTATTTGTATGTGCAACAGTGAAGAACAACACATCCTTTACATTATTTGATCTGTATCAAGTCAAATTTTTGAGGTAATAGGGCCCAGAAGGTGAATTCACATCATGTTTTATTGATGACTCATAAACAATTAGCTTGGTGAAAAGGCTTCCCCACTACAGAAGTGCACCAAGCACTCTAAAACCATGCACAGCTACTGTATGTGTCGCTATGGAAACCTTTAGCATGTATCGTACCACAACCTTGTGCTTTATCCAAACAGTGTCTCATTTCATCATCACATCATTAGAGAACAGGCAGAAGTTTGAGTATGAATATTCAAGTAACGTCAAACAATATATTTTAATTGATGTGCTTCTACTTCTAGTGTGTCGTTGCTATTTACAGGCATTAAATAAGCCATCAGTCACACATGTGCACCATGCCATGTTATAATACACAGTAAGGTATAAATAATCAGGTTATTACTGGTTACTTGAAACAAAACTTTCTGTAACAGTTTTCTGGCACTTTACATATCTATTCTTCAACTAACAGGATACAATTACTAAAACACAACACTCGGCTGTTTAAAACACTTTTCTCACTGCTATATCTTGCTGAAATGATTGTTCATTTTGTATTATTGCTGACACACAGTATGTAAATGAAGCAACAAAAGTGAATGCTTCATAGAGTGGGTCATGAAAGGGAGAAAATGTCAGCTAAACCAGATTAGATGAGCGGTTTTTCAGGTTTCTCTGGAGATTATCAAGATTTTGGCTCAACTTATTGTGTCGTCCTGAAGTCATAGAGCTTTCCTCATACTTTATGCAAACATTTGCACTTTGCCTCTTTTCTGACACGTCTCCTAACGTTTGTTGAAGAAAATAATCCCGACACGTTGGTGTTGCCACCATCATGTTTTATTGTAGAGGGAGTGTTAATTTTCCTCCACAGACGGCTGGATGTTGTGGACAAAATTGTTGGTACCCTTTGTTTGATGAAAGAAAAACCCACAATGCTCACAGAAATAAATAACTAAATTACAAAAATGAACAAATGAAAGTCAGACATTGCCTTTCAGCCATGCTTCAACGGAATCTTTTTTTTAATAAATCTTGTAAAACAGGCCTGGACAGAAATGATGTTACCCCTGAATAATGTGACCAAAGGGACATGCTAAATTAGCATCACAGGTGTCTGCAACCTTGTAATCAGTCAGTGGGCCTGTATACAGGGCTGCAGATACTCACTGTGCTGTTTGACATGGTGTGGACCACACTCAACATGGACCAGAGGAAGAGAAGGAGAGCGTTGTCTCAGGAAATTAGAAAGAAAATTATAGACAAGCAGGTTAAAGGTAAAGGTTATAAGACCATCTTCAAGCAGCTTGATGTTCCTGTAACTACAGTTGCACATCTTCAGAAATTTAGATCCATGGGACTGTAGCCAACCTGCCTGGATGTGGCCGCAGGAGGAAAACTGATGACAAATCAAAGACACAGATAATATGAATGATAAAAGAGCCAAGAAAAACTTCTGAAGAGATTAAGATGAACTTCAAGCTCGAGGAAGATCAGTGTCAGATAAAACCATCCATCACTGAGACAAAGTGGACTTAATGGAAGACGACCAAGGAGGTCACCAAATTATAAAAAAGTCTGAATGGAATTTGCCGAACTACATGTTGATAAGCCAGAAAGCTTCAGGGAGAATGTCCTCCAGACAGATGAGACAAAAATTAACTTTTTGGCAAGGCGCATCAGCTCTATGTTCATAGATGGAAAAATGAAGCATATCAAGAAAAGAACACTGTCCCTATTGTGAAACATGGAGGAGGCTCTGTTATCTTCTGGGGCTGCTTTGCTGCATCTGGCACAGAGTGTCTTGAATCTGTGCAGGGTACAATGAAATCTCAAGACTATCAAGGGATTCTAGAGAGAAATGTGCTGTCCAGTGTCACAAAGCTTGGTCATGGCTCTCTCAACACGATAATGACCCAAACAGCTAAAACACCCAAGAACAGCTGAGAGGAAAACACTGGACTATTCTGAAGAGGTCTTCTATGAGCCCTGACCTAAATCCTGTTGAGCATCTTTGGAAGAAGCTGAAACATGCTGTCTGGAAAAGACACCCTTCAAACCTGAGACAACTGGAGCAGTTTGCTCGTGAGGAGTGGATTAAAATATCTGCTGAATTGTTTGATTGCAGTGATTGCCTCAAAAGGTTGTCCAACAAAATATTGGGTTAAGGGTACCATCATTTCTGTCCAGGTCTGTTTCATGAGTTTTATTTTTAATTCTGCTGGAGCATGGTTGAAAAGGAAGTCAGACTTTTATTTGTTCATTTTTATTTATTATTACTTTTGTCAGCTTCAAGTCAATTCTGTGACCATTGAGAGTTTTTCTGTCATTGAGGGATACCAACAATTTTGTCTATGTGCGTGTCAACAACAGGTCACAAAATTTAGCTTCAATCAGTTTGAGAGTCATGCAGATAAACTACCCCAGAGTCCACTGGTCCTTCATGTCCCCATCATGTTGATTCTGTTGTGCTACTCCATTACAAAGTCCTCAATTCAATTGTTACAAGTTTCACAGCTGGTTATCCATCTGAAATAAAACATTAAGGTTTTATTTAGAACGTTCTTCAGGATCCTTTGTGTGTGTGTGTGTGTGTGTGTGTGTGTGTGTGTGTGTGTGTGTGAAGGAAAAGGACAGTAAACTGTAAAGTAAATGAACTGCTGAGAAAACTTTAAAGCACAGAAGGCGGATTTGTCCCATTCTTCCAAACACTGGTGTTTTTGTCAAAGCCGCGAAACAAACATCAGCTAATCCCAACTTTGAGGAAAACAAGACTCTCAGTGCTTGTAGAAAGACATCCAGAGTACTTCACGTTCCCAAGTTGACTCAGTAAGATGAGTTTTGGTGTAAGAAGGATAGTTCCTTGTAAACCACATTTCAGTCACACGCAGGGACACAGGACTTGAAATGCTCACAGTTGGATGTGGACACATTTGAACCCACAACCCAAAAACACACATGGGGATGAGGTTTGTTTATGTTCTGCTTTGCTGCATCTGGTACAGGTTGTCTTGAACCTCTGCAGGGAGCAATAAAATCTCAAGACTATCAAGACTTTCTGGAAAAAAATGTGCTGCCAACTCAGAAAGCTTGGTTTCAGTCAGGTCATGGGTTCTTCAACAGGACGATGACCCAAAATCTAGCTTAAAACACCCATGAGTTGCTAAGAACTAAACACTGGACCATTCTGAAGTGGCCATCTGCAAGCCCTGATCTCAATCCTGTTAAACATCTGTGGACGGAGAGAAAACATGCAGTGTGGAGAAGGCACCTTTCAAATCTGAGAAGTATGAATTTAAATTTTGAGTTCTCTCAGTGACCTTTGTGTGGGTTCCTTTCTTTAACAAAAAAGGAGTCAACAAACGTGTCCATGTTTGTAAATGATTTTTCCACAGCGTTAAAGCACACACACCAGCTGAAGCCATGCATCCTGGAAACACAGCTGAAACTGAGACGAAGCGAGTCGACCAGGAAGTGGAGGCAGGAGATTTTGTGCTTGAAAATCAGTGTGAAAAGAAGTCTCTCACACATGCACGTCTGAGCTCACGCAGGCGGGTTCTTAAAAGATTTCGGGACACTGGCTCCAGTCTTGTCTTTCTTTGGCCTCCCAGTAGCCGCCCCTGTAGACGTAGATGCTTTCTCCTGTAGTTTCATCTGTTCTCTTTTCAAACCACACTGGCAGATGACCCTCAATGTCTTGACCTGGGAGCAAAAGGTATTCGCTTTTAAAATGAAGATGTTTATATATTTAAGTCTTTATCTTCTATGAGTTCATGGCTATTAAAAAAAACTGTTTTTTGGAAATAACTGTTCTCACCATTCTTGCTGCAGTCCCTGTACTCACCCTCCTCCAGAGCCTGGTTAGCTTGAGCTTCCCTCCGTTTCCTCTCGACTCTTTGGCGGTCCTCTAACCGCTGCTTCTCGTTGTTGGCTTCGTCCCAAAGACCTGCCTCCATCAGCCGCTGATCGGGCCGCAGGCGGCTGTCGGTGGGCGCGACGCCTTCTTCCGGCTCGTTCAAGGTCAGCGCCAGGGAGGAGAAAAAGTGCATGTTCTCTGCGTTCTCTCTGAAACAGGAAAAACACACAGATGACAAAGAGCTACACACTGTCAGAATCAATCTTTAGGACGCAGGCGTGAAGTCTTAAAACGTACGGAAGAGGGTATTTCTTCCACAGCAGTTTGGGCTGAAGCGTTTGATAAACGGTCTTTTGTTTGCCTTCAGACCCTGAACATCCCTGGCTGCTTTTCACTATTTTTGCACTCTCCATTTTGTCGTCCCACGTTCCTGAGAGGATGTAGTGTTCTGTGCCTTCTTTGTCTTCTACTACTCCTGTCACCTGGTGACGAGAGAAACAAAACACAGGAAGAAATCCATGACATCCACCCTCTGATGGCTATATTCAGAGCTAACCGACATGTAGCTGCAAATACATGTCAAGGGCATGACTTACTTTGCGCGGGACTTCCCTGGAGAAGTAGCTGTACGGGGAGAATTTGAGATGGCAGGTGGCCTTTGTAGTTGTGTTCACAACATCGATGTCTCCAGACTGATAACAGCATCAGACAAAAGAAGACTACTTTCCCTCAATATATCAGAACAAGCTTGGTTTTAAAAATATATATCACACTGCTATGAAGCCATTTTGAAGAGCGTTAAAAAGAGCATAATTTCAACTCACAGAACTTATAAACTCAATAAAACCAAACCTGGTCGATCCAAAGCTTCCCTACGATGATGTTGTGTACCGTCGACGTCACTTTGCTCCACACGTAATGGTTTCCACTGGAGTGGAACTGCAGGTGGATGTTACCTGAAGAGAAGAGAACATGTGAACATCCACACCGGATAATGTTTAGGTATATTCCTGGACCGCATCTGAATTTTGGTCAAGTTTATATCACTAATCAATATATTGGGGCTATTCAACTACATCCGGCCCACAAGTGACCAAAGTTCGTCCCACCAATTGGTTCATTCATCTCTTAAGCCCAAACCCCTGGTTTTCTACTTTAATTACTAGAAGTTATTTTAGTTAAACATACACATATGTGATATCTACAGAAACATCAGAACTTTGTCTAGAAGCTGGTAAAAAACATTTAAATGAACACCCAAGACAGTTAAAGCTACAAGCAGTTGAAGACAAAACTATGAAAGTGAAAATAAAATTGTCTTTAAAATTTGGCAAGTCAGAGATGTCAAAATAACATTTGTGTTAAATAGGCGGCAGAATGCATTTATTGATTTTGATGTTTTATTAACTCCGCCAAGGAGGTAAGGTTTTTGGTCGTGTAAGTCTGTCTGTGGTTAAAATTACTCAAAAACTTGTGGTAATGGATGGATTTTCATGAAATCTTTACCACAGGTGGGAACTAGCCAAACGAACACACCATTAAATTTTTGTGATGATCCGGATCACGATCTGGATCCAGGAATTTTTTTTTGAAGAATCTTCACTGTTGCAGGATAGGGGAAATTAATTACTGTTTTCAAAAGGTCTTCACACTTATTTTTCTCACCACGAAAAGTGTGAATATTTTGTTGAAAATTTAAACTGTAATCTTAATGTTTATTTATTTGGAAACTTTTGTGTGATACCTTTACTGTATGGGCACAGAATATATCTGGTAATATGGAATGATACTGTGTTATGACATTAATTCAATATTTTTATTCTACATGTGTTTTCTGATAAATGTGTTGGAATAAATTGAAATTTGGATTTCCATCATTTACTTTCAACATGATGTTACTATATTTAGTATAAAGCACTGGACAGATCACTTTTCCAAGGGGATCCTTTTAGCATAATTGACCTTGGCGGAGGTTTGCGCTCTCCGAGTGCTTCCAGTTATCACTACTTTTATTACATAGAGTTCTGTATGTTGTAGTCATGATTAAATGCAGCAAAATGAAACTATTTCAAAGGTAACAGATCTTTGTAATATTTGGTTTTTTTCAAAATGACTTTAATCACTAGATGTAGTGTGCTGTTGGCCTACACTGACTGTGGCCCCTGGAGCAATTTAGTTGAACAGCCCTGCTCCATATCATCCATTTACAGATGTTGCAAAATGTGGCTGCAAGTCTTTTAACTGGTACAAAGAAATTCGATTACTTTACACTTGTTTTACTAATCCATTTTAAAATTATTTTTATTTTTTTAATCGTTAAGCAGTCTACATATGCAGACACACCTTCCCGTTCTCTCAGGTCTACATGTGTCCAGAACCAGGTGTGAGCTCAAGGGGGGTCTGGCTTTTGCAGTTTTATGTTTTGTTTATTTGCTACATCTTAGAATGTACAGCACTTTTTCCCCCCCCTTGGATGAGTTTTAAAGGGTTTTATGAATAAATTGGATTGGACTGAAATGTTCCTTACCTAATGGCATGACTGAAATGTATTTCCCCCGAAACTTGCTGTCGATGGTGATATGCTGCCACAGAGTCCACCCTCGCTGCGATGTCACGTGGTGGGCAGCAGCTGGTGGATGGTGGCTGACCTGAGGGTGAACAGCATCAGCTGGCGTCAGCGGAACATATAAACTCTACTCTAATTAAATTGTTTGCATGTGTAACTGGATGTGCTTGTGTGTAAACAAGATGAGCCAAAAATTATTAAGATTAATTAAAAAGATGAATGTGTTTATATATTTCTTTATTTTTTGTCTTGCCTGCTCAGAGATGGAGCGATAGCCGTACTCATCCAGCCGGTCCAGCTCGTAGGTCTCCCCCAGCAGAGGGTTGAAGGGCTTGGCGGTTCGATGGACTGTGGTGGAGTAGGAGGAGACAGAGAAGGCAGCCACCAGGCACATTTGCTCCAGAGACGAGTCGCAGCGGGCCGCCCGGTCCAGGAGCTCGCTGTACTCCAGATCCTCCGTCAGACGTTGCAGCATGGACAACGGTTCATTAAAGTTTACCTGCGAGACAACATTTAGCACGCCCATTTCCCCTTACAAAAACAATCTAATAATACCAGTCATACACGCTAAATGTAGTCGATTTTTAGTTTACAGGCATGGGTATCCTGGACAGGTCTTTGCCGATACAGTTCTTCATGATGCTCCACAGGTTAAGGGAGTAGTTTGGTTTGTCAGGAATACGACTGCGTCTCGTTCTTCGCAGCTGCAGCTGGTTTGTGCCTGTGGTGTCCTGTAAATACCAAAACAACAGGACTACGTTCTAGCTTGTTTAAAAACAGACATGACTAAATGAAGTATATTTTATCCACTCGACTTACATTCTCGTTGTGGGTCCAGTCATTAGGCATTACTCCACTCATCATACTCTGATTACTTCCAGAGCGCCTATGAAAGAAGATGATTCAAAATCAAAGCTACAGGAGGTAAAACAGCTTTGAAATCCCATCTATCCAGGTGAGTTGGTGACATCGCTGTGAGGGAACAGGAGGAACATTGACAGCTTGTGTCTAAAAAGAGATTTGGCATTGAAAATTTTAAAAATTGCGACTGAAAAGCTTATTATGCTGACACTCATTTTATGCTGCAGCTTTTTTTTTTCTTTTTTCGATTAGACAATTTTTGAGTCATTTTGGTTGTCGCTGTGAGCTGTCACATTTCAGCATTGGGGGCGGGGTTAAACAGAAGGTGACTTCACGGAGCTTCTGTTTTTCTGCTCGTCATCTACATCTACCTGCAGTCCGTTCAGGTTCAAGAACTGCTCCTCAACCACAGGTTAGAGTCCTGTTTTTATGATTACTATCATTATTAGCTGCATCAACCATCAGTTTTACTTTTAAAACAAGATCATTGCCAATTTAAGTTCTAAAAACATGAACCAAAGCTCACTTTTAGCTGCTAGCTAACCTAATATGAAAAATTCTCATGACTGGCAGTTTGTTTGTTGGATAAATGACTGAATGAAAGTGGTGCTTCTCACCTGTGTTCAGTGGCAGTCACAGTTACGAACGAAGGGGAGTCCTCCACGGCATCGAAGAACTCTGCCTCTTCATTCTCATCGCTCGCGTCCCCCTCCTGAGCCCGCTCCACACCTGCAGCAACAAACGTGGAACACAACAGCTGAGGGGGCTTCAGGTTGCGCTGAATGTTCTCCAAAAAATAAAATGGTTCAAACCCAAAGTAGCTGCTGTCATAAATCCTTGTGTTCTGGTTAATACGTTCTGTCCATTAGATTCTGGTTTAGTCTCCTTTTTAGTTTTTTTTCTATCTTATGAGTCATGAGTTTGATCATTTCCTGTGTTTTGTACTTCCGCTTAGATTTTATTTTGTTTTTTTTCAGTTGCTATTTTCTGTCACTCCTGCATTTAGTTACCCATTTTCATTTCCCCCTGCATGTCCTCAGTTAGTTGTTCAGTTCCAGCTCTTGCCCCGCCCACTCTCACCTGAGCCTCATTGTCTTTCCTCCAGGTGTTTGTCATCTTCAGTCAATTAATGTTTCTTTAAATACTTCTCATTTGTGTAGTTTTTGCTTGTGGCCATTTTTTGCTGACTTTTCAGCTTTTAATAAATTAGTTTGTTAATTTTACCTGTGAGTTGCCCTGAGTCAGACTGCCCCCACCCCCACCCCCACCCCCCCACACACACAAAACAAAAAAAAATAGCTGTCAATAATTTTTTGTCATTTGTTCATGAATGCTTTTAATTTTTAAGTTGCTTTCTGGTGATGTAAAACTGTTGAAAAATTAAATGCCATTAACTACCAAATGATCTAATTTATTTGCTTTTCTCACTGCATTTAGGGCTTCCAACAGTTTGTGTAAATTATTGTTATTACAATGATGGCTGGTTGTATCCTCTCCTGATCCAATCTAGTAAGCTGTGTCATGCTGTGATTGTGCTGTTTTGAGAGTCTGGCTCATATTTTTGTTTGGTTTTGTTAATGATAAGTCACTTGTCTTTGCCAGCACACTGTTGAACCATAAGCACAATGATGAAATGACAACAAAAGACATCCCCACACAAATCAAATAAAACAAAGAGATGTGTTGGGATAAACTTAGATAAGATGAAAGGTGGTCTCAGTGAAGTAATGATTTTAGAGAAACTTCCACAACAACAAAGTAGAAGATGAAAAAAATCAAACTTCTCATCTTCTTTTATTGTTTAAGAAAAAGAGCAGCTGCTGTGACATTTTTGTCTGTCATTAAGCTACACAACATGATCACTGAAAACACAGTGGCTTTCAAATATGAGGTGCCATCTGTAAAACAAAATGTTGAAAAATGTCACTAACAAATTTTCATTTTTTTTGCTCACTTTCTGAATTTAAAATCCTAGTTAAAAATTTCCACTAGTATTTTATTGTTATTTAGCTCAGTGTTCTTACATTTTACATGTTAAACATGTTAAATAACATATGTAAATCCTAAATCTAAATGTGTAAGTCTAAATGTAAAAGTTTAATCTAAAATGTTGCAGCTAAATGATAAAGTTTCCATTTAAGTATCAAGTATCGTGGAACACAGCCTTTGCTGTTGGTGCTTGGCTCTTGTTATGACATCATCGCCCTGCGACAAAGCAACCACTAATGCCTGAATGCAGCTAAAGCTTCCCCTACCAGACATCAACCTGCCGGTTATGGCTGATGTCTGAGCTGCATTTCAAACTGCTGGACCACAAGTGCCATCTGTACTGTTCTCAATTAACACATTTTGATTGAAATTTTAAATACCATCTTCAACAGCATCCGTAGCAGTTAGCAATGAAGGCAGTCACTGGATGATGACATCATCCTAGTTAGCTAATGTTAAACTTCAACATTTAACTAAAGTAAGTCAAAAACTATGAGAATCTTTGTCAAATTAAAATAATTTAAAAATATATATAACAAATTGATGTTCTGCCTTTTTGGCTTCAATTTTTATGACCTAACCCATTCATGAACGGTGTCTTTTATTACAGATACGCTTCACTACTTGTATCCAGAAGAGGGCCGCATCCTTGAAATCCAACAAGGATCCTTTTTTATGTGTTTCACATCACAAGTGCTCGAGTCGTCTAGACCAGTGGTTCCCAAAGTTGGGGACAGAACCCCTTTGTGGGTCACGAAACATCAAGTGACGGTCCATGGAGGATTTCCAGGCATTAATTTAAATGCAAAAAAAAAAAAAGTCTGATGGAATATTTTCTTCATGATTATTGCAATTTTAAACTAATAATTGTAAATGAATACAGTTAGTATTGTAGTTATTAGGTGTGTTCATATTGTTGTTATTCCCTTGTTCAGCAGAGGTATTAGTAAAGTTTGCATATGTAAACAAGTAATATTTGGGGCCTTGAACATCTGCAACTGTTATTTTGTAGGCCGGAAGCAAAAAAAAGGTTTGAAAACCACTGGTCTAGAGGACGGGGAAGGCAATGTCTCACCTGCATACGAGGTGGGATTCTCCCTCCAGGCTCTCTCCAGGCTGTTGTGCTGCTTGGCTAGCTGCTCGATGGTCTCCTCCAGGTGGTGACGCTGCTCTCTCTCATAGTGCAGAGTCTTCTGCCACCTCCGGTTGTGAGATTCTGCCACGTCCAGGAAGTCACGACAAGCCTGAGGTGCGAACACAACAAACGCCCGTCAGAATCCGAGCCGAGCCGCATCCTGCAGACGTGTGCAAACTCACATTGATCATAGCATTAGAGGTGATGCGGAAGAGAGTGGCTCGCTCGTTGACGGCCTTCACTCGGTCGGTGCTGTCCGCGGATCCTCGCAGGTCCTCCAGGTCGCTGAGGGAGCGCTGGAGGGCGGCGCCGTGCTTCCCGATCAGCTCGTTGCAGGTGCCCAGATCCTCCAATTTGGTGGCCAGGGTCTTGAGCACACCTTGGGTCAGGGCGTGGTCCTCCTGAGGGACGGGGGTTTCATCTCCTGAGTCGTCTTCACAGAGAAACACAAGTTTAACAACTTCCTGTGCGATCGTTACAGGCAGTGTTGTATAAAGTACCACAAAGTGATGAGTAAAAGTACAAGTATCTTACCAAAAAATTACTTTGGTAAAAGTTAAAGTCTCCTTAATATTACTTGAGTAAAAGTCTGATGTTTTTTGTACTTAAGTATTAAAAGTAAAAGTATTGATTTAAAATGAGCAGTTAGATTTTCTGTGATGACATTTAATAGGAGGTGACCTTCCTCCAAATAATGCATAAATGACTATATTGTATTAAAATAGTTAATTTATGTTAAATTTAGGATGCACAAGTCGAGCCGTTTCATTTTATACAAATATCAAGGCTGCCCAAACCTTTTCCCCAAAATTAAAATCTGAGGGCTGCGGCCAAATACAATAATATAATCCATGAAATAAAAATACTTCTTAAGTACAGTCCTTTTATTTTAATGATTATGTCCTGCGTGACATGACTTGTTTGTGTACAAAGTAATACTGTATCAGAGTTTTATTTGTTTATACTTCTCATTCAACCACAAATTCACTCTAGGAGGCGCAATTAATATGGATAGTATTTTTTTAATAACAATCTGGAATGAAAACAAGCAAAAATGAAATAAAAGTAACAACTTCTTACTTCTTGTCTTTTTAAAAAATGTAAGGAGTAAAAAGTACAGATAATTATGTGAAAATGTAAGAAGTAGAAGTAAAACGTAGGCTGAAAAATAATTACTCAAGTAGATACTGCAAAATTCTACTTAAGTACAGTAACAAAGTATTTGTACTTAGTTACTTTACAGCTCTGATTACAGGTCATCGTGTTTGAAGACTTTCTGTGGCAAAGGAAGCAGGAGTTGGTCTGACAGACGGAGGGAGATATTCTGAATATTCTAAATTTAGAGGAGTCGGGAGCGTTAACAGTGAGCGGATGGAGAGAGAGAGAGATAACACTTCACACTCTGGACTTCACCAACCCTTCATTTACAAAATCTGAAAGCTGTGAATGAACACTGTTGCCCGGGAAACGCAGGCCCTGTGCAATCAGGAGGCGAGGCTATTTTTAGAAAAAAAGGGAGGAAAAAAAAAAGAGAGAGGATGACGCATTACCCCTTTCTTTCCTCTCATCCTGTCTCTCTCTACCAGCCGCTGGTATGAGCTGAGCTAAAAGTCTCGGGGCTTTTCTGTCATTTCTGGGAAAGTCTACTGAATATTAGACATTGAAAATTATATGGATTTTAAAGGAGTTTTTATTTCTACAGTCTTAAAAGTGTCATAAATTAAAGCAACTCACTGCCCTTCTTACAGCCTTGATTCAAAAAAAGTGGGGACATTGTGAACAGTATAATGTAAAAAAAACTGAATGTAATGATTTGTAATTTTCTAAATCTATATTTATTCACAATGTGACACGGTAACATTTCTACATAATGAGGTAATGAGTTATTGGTCATCAGGTCAGTAAGAGGACTGGGTCTAAAGATAGGCAGAGGTTCACCTGTCTGAGAAAACCTGTCTAAAACAGAGGAGCAATTTCAGAATAAGTTTCTATTGGACAGTGTAGTGGTCACCCTGGGTGGAATAAACGTTCCACCTGCCTTTGAACTTGACCACGGAAGGCCTCCTTTAAAGAACAGAACTCTGTTCATTTTTTATGGTCATAACATGTTTTCTTAAACCATTAAGGGACATTTTATTTCATTTTATTCTCTATAATCAAGATAATAAACAAAATAGTAATGTTCTTTATATGTTTTGACTTTACATATTTTACTTAAGCAAAAGTTATTTCTTAATTAAAATTATCATTTTAAAGTTAAAGTTATATAAAGAACATTACTTTTTTATCAAGATAATAAACAAAATAGTAATGTTCTTTATATAACTTTAACTTTAAAATGATAATTTTAATTAAGAAATAACTTTTGCTTAAGTAAAATATGTAAAGTCAAAACATATAAAGAACATTACTATTTTGTTTATTATCTTGATTATAGAGAATAAAATGAAATAAAATGTCCCTTAATTGTTTAAGAAAACATGTTATGACCATAAAAAATGAACAGAGTTCTGTTCTTTAAAGGAGGCCTTCCGTGGTCAAGTTCAAAGGCAGGTGGAACGTTTATTCCACCCAGGGTGACCACTACAACAGTCAGAAAGGCTTTGAATATCCCATCATCTATTATAGCAATAAAATATTTTAAGTATCTGAAGACATTTCTGAAAGTCGTGATCACTGAGTCCTCAGGCGGGACTGTTTAAAAATCAGATCTGATCCTTTTTGAAAACCACCGACTCTACGACCTCTGTACTAAAGATGAGATGGATCCAGCCTGTTATCAGTGCAGGGTTTAAAAGCCTGCCTCTCTGATGGTATGGGGGGTGCATTTGTGCCTATGATATGGGCCGCTTTACGCATCTGGAAAAACACAATTAATGCAGAAAAGTATAAAGTTTTAGACTAACGTTTGTTCTCATTCAGCAAAAAAATCCAACAAAGACCCAGGACTGTTGAAAAGCCAGACAAACTGGGACAACATTGCCCTCCAAACCCTTCAGCAGCTGCCTCCAGTGTAAATATATAGCCGTGCTGGTGCAATGAAATTGAAAATTAACTTTTCTTTTGTAAAACAACATTCAAAGTATTTTAGTTTAAACATTTGATTTGTGTATCATGTTTCATTAGGAATAAATATGGATTGATGAGGTTTGTAAAATACTGCGTTTTGTACAGTTTGCACAACTTTTTCAGAATGTGGGTTGTAATTAAAATTATATTTTTTAGAAAAAAATCATTTAAACAGCTTTTAAATATATTAGGATTTCTACCAGAGAAAATGCATTAAAAAATCAAAGATAAAAAAATCCTGCTTTTTATACGATTATACAAGTCGCAATATATAAAATACATGCAGCTCCAGCCAATGTAATGAAACTTTTCTAGGTCAAAACAATATTTCCTAAAGGAATCCTGTGTTAAATCTCAGAGCTCAAAATGATGCCGTCTGAATCTAGGTCAGTGTAGTAATACGAGTTCAAAAGCACAGAAAAACTACCACAATCTATTTAAAAAGAATGAATAAATAATAATAATAAAAAAACAATCGGGGACAACTGGATCAGCAAAGTCTCTGTAGAGGAAGATTAAAAATGTGAGGGGTTGAAAAATCCTTCAGGCTTCAGCGATGATTTCATGTCGGGCAGATTTCTGCTGCTCAAGGTGGAAAGACGTCTTGTTCTGCAGCCATCTGTCAGCCAGCATGTCGATCTGGACACGCAACGCCATAAAACTACAAATCAAGAAGCTCTGATGTGCAAATAAAAAGCAATATATGTGCAGTAATGAGATTTTTCTCGTCTCTACAGGATACTGGACAGTCTGAGCCCCAGCGGTGACTCACTGCTGAATCACAAAAAAAAAGAGACACCCACAGGTGATGAAGGGAGCGTCATTAGTGTGGGAAGACAGAGTCAGGGTTAAAACAGAGGAGGGGGAGCGGTGTGAGTTTCTGAAATACAAACTGAGCATTTCAAATCATGAGAAAGCTCACTGAGAGGTGAACTTTAAATTCCACACAAACATGTTTTTTATGCACAGATTCAGAATAACTAGACATCTGCATATAATACACAGCTCACTCTATGTGATTATAACCAGGAGGATAGGTGGCTCCACTTAATTACTGCCGTTTTGATCCACTTTCAGGCAATTAATTTGTCCTGAAGCAAAGGCCTTGACTGCTCATGCATTGTAATCTGTAATCACTTCACCCAAACGCACAGCTTCTCATATGAAACATGTAAGCTGATCACAGTGGTTTGAAAGAAAAAAGGAATAAAATATAAAAAAAAAAAAACACTCTGAGAGGGTGTCAGGCTGCTCCCTCGGCTGTTTAAATCCTGATTACAATTTAAGCTGTGATAACTGCTGCTGAGGCAAAGCCTGCTGCTGGATCCAGATTATAATTCTCAAGGTGATCAGAATGACACAAAACACAGATTTGTGTCTCGCGTGTGCAAAAAAAAAAAAAAAGAAGGCATTTCGTTGGCGTTTGAAATAAACGTGCCAAGTAGTGAAAACTTGCTGAACTCTACAACGGGACACATTTCAGAACAAATACAGGTGTTCAAAAAGATAATGAGCACATAATTATAAATAAATAAAAAAATAGCTTACTTACAAGGTGACACTCAGTGAAAAGCCTGCACTCGTATCTGCTTATTGTCCATGTGCTGGAAGATATTTTCAATGAAACCCACTAACACCGCTCTGTTTTTGTCTCTCCCTCTGTCCTTTTTTTTTTTTTAACCCCTCCTGATTCCAGAGCGAGAGGAGGAGTCAGGAGAGGAAGGTCATTTCATTCAGCTCTCACTGGCGTCATATTGAAGGAGACAGGGAGGGAGGGTGTTCGCCTGTGAGCATTTGTAAAAAAAACACTGCACATTTTTTTTATTTAATTCAAACAATTAGAAATTCAGGGTATATGTAATTTAAAATCATATATATAGTCAATCATTTGGTCGCATTTTTCTCCTTTTTGTCTTTGCTTAAACAGACTGCACCCATGAGAGCATGCAGAACAACACTGCCCTCTGGTGTCCTGTTGTCTGAATTACACCTTAAATGACAAAAACAGAAAAATGGGTCCCCGCTCACACAGACTGCATTCAGGTTACAGCAGCTAAAATTAGAGGCTTTCTCAAAAGAACCGTGCTGTTCTTTTGAAGCACATTTTCCAGGCCAGTCTGTTTTATTTAATTTAATTTTTTTTAAAGGAACAACAGATTGTTCAGAATAAAAATAAAACGGGCAGATCAATTTACAGGGTTCATGCAGGTTTCACGTTAAATTTAAGACCTTTTAAGACCATTAGTAATGATATTTAAGACCAAATTGACACATTGACAGAAACATTCAAATGGTCCCAGAAATTTTATAATATAATATAATAT